AAAAATAAATAAAATAATAAATAAATAAATAGAAAAAAAAAAAAAAAAGCACAAATAGGGAGCAGGTAAACTAACAAGAGACAAAAAGGAGGTAATTTGATTAACTTAAAACACAGTATTTTAAATTGTAAGCACAGCACTAGTGTTGGCACAGTTTGGTGGTGAAGTGCTTGCCTAGCCTGCGCAGTGCTGTGGGTTTAAATCCCAGAAATACAAAGATATAAAAATATTTGTATGTTTACAGGCAAATACAAGAATAAGCAAGGAAAACTAAGACAATAAAACTGTGACTATAGGAAAAAAAATACACATTTGGACATTTCTTTTTATTTTGCACGGCATGTCTCTGTACAACTTCTATCTTTTTTATTAGTACACTTTGTAGTACATAATGACATGCCTTATAGGGTACGCACACATCTTATATCCTATTAGGATCTGGGACATGCACACATCTTTAAAAAACTTATTTTCTTGTTCAGTATCTCCTCCCCATCCTTCCATCTCTTGGTACTTCCCATTTGCACGCGATGTGTTCTTGTGTATCTATCATTCATCTTTTATATTTCTCAGGTGCAGTATTTATACACTATTAAGCTTGCGTTTATTTCCCTTAACATGTTCTCAAAGTGCATCCATTTTCCTACACATGACTCCTGTTGCTCCGCATGGCAGAGTAGGTCCTCGGTGTGTATAAACTCCATGTTTTCTATCCACTCATCGGTTGATGGACACACAGGCGCATTCCAAGCACGAGTCACTGAGTTGTCCTGCTGTAAACACAGGTACGCACGTACCACCACAAATGGCGTCTTGCATGCTTGTGGGAAGACGTCCAGAATGAAGTCAGCTGGGTAGAACACAATTTGTACTTTTAGGCTTTGGAGGACTCTCCATACTGATTTCCGTGGTGTTACACTAGTTCACACTTCCACCAACAATGAAGCAAGTTTCCTCCCCACCCCACATCCTCACCAGCGCTTGTTACTTTTGATTTCTTGATGATAGCCATTCTTCCTGGAGCAAGACTGAATCTCAGAGTTCATTTTGCATTTCTCTAATGGCCAGAGGTACCGAACAAATTTTCAAGTACAGCAACACCTTGGTTTACAAATGCTTGTTTATGAACTTAAGTGTTTGACAAAATTTTGCTCCCATTTGCAAAATAGACCTTCCCCAGAATGGAAGGAATTAAGTTCATTAACTGAGATAGCACCACATTTACCGGCAACTTCTACTTCTGAGAAGTGTTTGTTCTTTTAGTTGTCTATTTTCAATTGGGTCTTTTTTTGGGGGGAAATCTAATGTTTCATATATATAACAAAAACTGCCTATATGTTTTTAAATTTATTTGAGTAATGCTGTTGGAATTTTGATAGATTAAATTTATATATTAGTTCAACAGAATTTAAATTAAATATTTAATTCAAACTTACAGCTAAGAAGCCACAAATGGAACAAACTATAGCGAACACAATGCTTGGATCTTGGGTGTCCTCCAAAAGCTTTATGCACCTGGAAGGTGACTGGGTCCTAGTGACACTATATTTATCAGTGGCTTAGGCTACTGAAGAGTTCACAGCTAATTCCTGGTAGGAGGTGGAGCCTAGTTAGAGGTGGGCTACTGGAGGCATGGCCTGGAACAGTCTCCTCCCCCAGGGGCTCCCTCTGTGCCCTCATCCTGGCTGCCACGACATAAGCAGCTTTCCTTGGTCGACACCCTTACATTGTTTCTCTCCTGTCTTACCAACACTCAAAATGAAGGAAGGAAGGACAGGTTTATTTAGCTCAGTCAGTGGAGGTTTCGGTCCATGATCAGTTGTCTCCAACTGAGTGGCACGTGGCAGAGAGAGCAGCTGTTCACAGTGGTGGTGGCGGCGGCAAAGAACAAGAGAGCAAAAGGAGTGGCAGTAGCTCAGGCAGCCAGCTGGCCTCTCTCCCCTCCACACATTGTAAGGCAGAGTATCTGCCCCAGGGCACTCACGGCCACAATCCCAGAATAGGATCAAGAATCAGTCACAAACTCCAGAAGCCACCCCGTGACTGCAGGAGGCTTTGGGGGGGGGACAATGAGACACACACTATAACAAGCTCTGAGGCCATACTCTGAGCTCTGTGAAATAAATCAGACACATGAGCTTAAACATTGCATGGTTTCTCTTACATGAGAAACCCAAAATATAAACAAAGAGCAAAATAAAAGATACTAAGAAATAAGATAAAACTTTTTTATAAAACGGAAGGGGAGTGAGAAAAAAAATAGTGGTGGAGATGAATTAGGACAGATGTGTTATGCACAGGTTCCAAGTCTCCACAGAAACAATCATCATGCAATGTGAACAATAACACTTGAAAAAAAGGGGTGTCAGGTATTGTGTCCCAGCCACGAGAAAGGACACATGGATGATACAACAAAGCGCAGTGCGCAGCCACATCGTCAGTCACTCTGCTCCCTTTAGTATCAGACTCTGGTTCCTCCAGGATCATGAGCTTCAGGGCCGTGGTGCTTAACTCGGTGTCGCTCTGCCCCTCCACCCCCCCCCCCCCCCAGGCATATTTGGACTAGCTTTCTAGTTTCAAGCTAAATGGAAAGAAATAAAAATAACTTCTCATTTAAATCACTGATTCTGGAAAGAAGTATTTTATTCAGAGTCACTTAAAAAACAAGGAGTTGTCTCAGCCCCATAATGAGCACACTAACCACATTTTCACATACAGAAAACGCAGGTACATTCAACGGCTTACAAGACACACCTTTATACAGTATACATTCAAGTGAAACGTAAGAATTTATTTAATTGTACATTTTTGTGACTTTTGCATCTGGTACCTTTTAAAACCACTACTATGTCATAGCTTATTTTCTAAGAGTCAGTTTACATGTGATGATTTAATACTAGAAGAGCCTCTTTGAAGAATTATAACAATTGCATGTATCCATATAATGAGGATCTAGTAATTTTTTAAACAAAAGCTTCAAGCTAACGTGTTACCAATTTGAATCATGTAGCCTGCAATGCATGGAATTCTTCGTGTGTGGCACTGCTTGCTTTGTAGTTTCAATAATTTCCAACGGTTCACAATTATTTGCGCACTGGGGAAAAAGCACCAAGGATGATGACTGTTTTACAGCACAGATGAACACAATACTCTACTCTCAACTTCCACTCAAAATCTAATCTTTTGTAGGGAGCATTTCTTCTTTCAGATGCTCACTTTCAGCTTTCTCAGTAAGATCGACTGGCAGATGGGACACAGAACAGAAACAGTGTACACAGTACCTCCTAAGGTAAGAGAATTCAGCTTAACATTGCTGATTTCTGGTTTTTTAGCCGAGTTCCCCTTAGAGCTAAAAAAGACTCTGAAAATAAATGTAAGAATGTATAAACTTGTCAGATATATGTCTTAGAAAGAAACTCCAAAGGTACCTTTCTGGCCATATTGCAAACAAAAGTTTCTTGAACAAAGCACCGCCTGTGGTAAGGAAATATATAAAGAAAATATTTTCTACAAATTAATATACAAATTTATGTGCATAAAGGTATAGTTCTCCCAAATGTATATGCAATATTTTAAATAATGTACAATAAAAAAATTCAAAGCACAGACTGAAAAAATAATCCATGTGCTGATCCTCCAGTTATTAGATATTGCAGCACATATGTCGCTCTAATGATTAAGACAAATCTTCTAATGTAAGTGGTCAGTGAGATTTCTTTGGAAATATACTGTTTAAATAGTCCCCCATATGTAATCTCACCAGTCAGATTTCAACCTAAGCTACAGGTTCTTACAGTTCAGACACAATCTCATGAAAACATGAGTGCGCGCAGGGTCCACGTCACCAGACTCTGAACTTTGGTACAGGCCAGCGAGACTCTTATGCTCTTTTTCCTTACTACTGATTCATGGTAAACATCATACCAACAAAGCACGGACCTTTACCACAAACTCTGCTACTCACAGAATGCAATAACATTATTTTAAACATTTCCAGATCATGACAAAGTTCCTTACATGAATATAAGCAAAAATTTCTCTAGACTTAAAAACATTTTTACATGAACAGGGATGTCTAGGGAGAAACATAAATCACTTGCTCTGACAGTTTGCAGCCAAGTTTACATCTTTTTCTACTGATTTTCCTAAGTATAAGAAGTTCCAGTTTCTGCTAAGAAGACTTGGTTATTTCTTTTTCCCAGCAGTTTTTTTGTGGTCCTGTACTTCTGTCTTGCTAGGGATACTCTTTCTTCGAGATGAGGTATTAGAAGCAACTGCACTAGAAGGTCCACCAGCAGCTATGCAGAAGAAGGAAAAGAAAGAAACACCCACTTGCTTAGATTTACACAGGCAGCCCCAAGTCAAATGATACTGCTGAGTGATGGAGTTGTTCTTGTTACAATTGCGATGTAAATTAAACATAAGCATTGAATACACCACTTTTAACTTTTTACAATTGAACATAAACAGAAAAATGATGACAATGTTGTATTCACAAAAATAAATCTCTCATTTCCTTCTTTATTCTTTCTGGAAAAGTAATCTACACTTGTCACTACTATCCACTATGCAAACGGCTTTGAAAGTTATACTTGTGGCCTAGGTCTTTTCCCTAAGCTCAAGATCTGTATATCCAACTGCTTACTGGAACTCTATAGATATCTTACAGGAACTAAACCTAACAGGCTTAAGCCTTGTTCATTTTCTGTATAAACATCTATTTTTTCTTATATCTTCTCTCTCATTGCTATCTAAAAAGCAACAAAGTTAGAAAACTAGAAGCATTCTTAAGACTCATTGTTCTGTATGTGAATAAACACTAAGGACTTACATTATACATTATAAAAAGCATTTCTGGGCGGAGTTATATTCCTCTTACTATGGATGGATATATTCCTGTCTGAACAAAATTCTGCAGAAAACAAGTACATGCTGCACAAAATACAAAGAACAATTACCTAAACACACTGAAGGGTGAAACAATTCACAGTTACTAGAGAATAACCAACACTTGTAAGAAAGGAATAACATGGCATGAATTTCCCTTTTAATAACTTTTAGCTTAATAAGAGGCCCCACTTGGCAACCTGTAAAATGGTTAAAATTACAACGTAAAAGCCAAGCCTACTAGCATGGAAATCCATACGACAAGATTTGGGGCAGACAGTGAATACAGGAGATAGAAAGTGAGGAAAGAAAATCCTTAGAAAGGGAGAGGCTGCAATTTAGTCAGTAAGCCTTGATCCCTAGGGCATGAGCAGAGCCTAGCCAAGCAGAACAGATAAAGCTGAGAAATGAACTGAGATTTGTGCTGTCCATTGCCCCAAGGGGCAGCTTTGCCACAGGAGTGAGCTGAGTTACTACTAAATCTTGGCTTTAAAAACAAATAACCAACATTCTTGGGAGGAATGTACGTGAATAACAGAATCCAAAGCTCCTACAGCTTATCAGTTACAATGTCTAGAATGTAAACCAAAATTATTCAATATGCTAAGAAATAAGAAAACAGCTTTCTGGACAACAACAGATAAAATGACAGAGACTAATCCTGAGGGGAGTTATTAATAGATAAGTTTTTTAAAACAGTAACTTCAACTATATTCTAGGGTTAAGGAAAATATAATGAATAAAAACGTAGAAGTCTCAAAAAAAAAAAAACAAACCCTAAAGAAAGATCAAATAGACTATTTTAAGCTAAAGAATAAATGGACTATCCGAAATAAAAACTAGCAGGATTTAATAGCAAGATGAGCAGGACAGGTAAAAGAAACACTAAGATTATACAAAAGAAAACAAGACAGAAAATAGGACAAAGAAAGACCTAAGCATTCTACAAATGGCTAGAAACCAGTGCCAAAAATAAAGCACGGAAAGCATGCATAGAAACACAGACAACTGCCTTAACAGGAAAAGTTCAAACAAAGACTTCTCATTGGAATCAGTGGGAACCAGAAGACAATGGACCGCATCTTCAAAGCGGTGAAAAGAAAAGGTTTCTCTATCCAACAAAATTACCTTATAAGGATTTAGAGTAAAGATATTATTCAGCAAGAAAATATGAATAGAACATACTGCCCATAGGCCTGCTGTGTGAAAAATGCTAAAGAGCTTCAGGCTGAAGGCAAATGACAGCAGACAGAAACAGAGACCTCACGGAAGGAAGGAAGGAAGGAAGGAAGGAAGGAAGGAAGGAAGGAAGGAAGGAAGGAGGGAGGAAGGGATGGAGGGAGGGAGGGAGGGAGGGAAGGAAGGAAGGAAACGTGGGCATCAAAAATGGTAAGTATGTAGAGCAATATAAGAATTTTTCTTCTCTCAACTTCTTTCATGTAAGTGGGACTATATAAGCAAAACATCACAACATGAGATCAGAGTATGCATAGTATATGTGAAGGTCACATACACACATGGGTTACTACATGTACAGGATGGAAGGAGAAGGAAACGAACTTACACAGTTATCTTTCTAAGGCAATCTATTAACTCTAAGGTAGACTGTGAGATGTTAAAAATATATATTTAGAACCACCAAAAAAATAATAATGTAAAAATATAGTGCTACTCTGATTCACAAATGTTTTTGGTTTCACACAAAATCATTTAGAAAGATTTTGTTTTTGTTTGCAAACTCTGCTTTGGGTCATAAATGACTGCAGCCATCTTTCCCACAGAAACACAGAAGTGGCCACCTTTTCCAAAATTGCTGAACAAATTAAGTTTGTGATCCAAGGTAGCACTGCATATGGCAGGAAGCCAAAAGATAGACTAAAATGAAATTCTAAAACATATTGAAGATAAAATAGATCAGGAAAGAAGAAAGGAATAATATCTATAACAAATAAATAGAAAATATAACAAAAGGGAAGACATCAATAATTGCATTAAATGTTAAAAAGGCCTATATACATTTTAACTATAAGGCAGATGTTATTAGCATGACTATTTAAAATGTTAAAGGTATGTTGTCTACAAAAATAGATCATCTAGACAGTACTGTTTCATTAATTTGGACTAGTTATAAACACCTCTTAAAATAAGCTTCAAGGTAAAATATTATTGGAAATCAAAGAAAGAAATTTCATGACAATAAATTAAGACATTAGGATGTGCTAACAATCACATATTTGTATACCTAATAGGAGACCTCTGAAACACACAAGGAAAACGTAACCAAATTTAAAGAAAAACTACACAATATTGAATGGAGACTGCTCTTACAGTACCTGCTAAATTACCCAGACAGACCGTGTTCCTGTTGCTATGACCCATCAAGGGAGAAGATCTGAACGTTATTAACAATCTTGAGGCAATGAATAATACAATGACCCACTGCAGAACAGCTATTCTTAAGTGCATTTTAACAGTCAAGTTAATCTAAGTATTTAGCCCTAAAAGGAGGCTCACACTTAAAAGTCTGAAACAGTGTGTGCTTTTAAAATTTTTTTTTTCGTATGTCTGGTACAGGGTCTCACTGTGCAGCTCGGGTTGATCCTCCTGTTCTCAGCTTCCCCAGTGCTGAGATTAGAGGCTTGCACCACCACACCTAGTCTCTGTGGCCCACTCAGCATGCCCAGGGCAGGGGTGGCATGTGGTGCCAAGGACTGAACCCTGATTCCTGTACTTGCCTAAGCAGGTGCTTAGTCCGCTGAGCTGTCTTGCCAGCCCAGTAATACTCTTCTTAAAACTTTTTAAATCAATGAAGCAATAATAAGTTAATAAGGAGCCCGGGAGATAGTTCAATAGAATAAGCTCCTGCCTAGCAAGTGCAAGGTCCTGAGTTCAATCCCTGGTACTGGAAAAAAAAACAAAAACAAAAACAAAAAACCACCCAATAATAATAATAATCATAAGTTAATAAATATTTTTAACTAAGTGATAATTCAAATATCACAAAATAACTTTTGTGTGATGCCATTTAAGTTCTCAGGGAGAAATACAGTTTTAAATGTCTATAAAACAAGAGAAGAAATATTTACCAACCAATGACCTAAAAATCTGTCAGTACAGGATCAGAATAAACCCAAACTAGGGGGCTGGTGAGATAGCACAGCAGACTAAAGCCCTTGCTTAGGCAAGCACGTGCCACACAAGCCCTGCCCCCAGGACAGGCTGAACGGGCCAGAGTCAGGGCACTGGGGAGGCTGAAAACAGGAGGATCACTGAGTCCGAGCTGCATGCAGTGAGACCCTGTAACACCCAAATACATTAAATAAATAAATAAATAAATAAATAAAATAATAAACCCAAACTAGACAGAAGAAAATTAAAAGACCAAAATTACTTAAGCTTAAAACAGACCAAAAGAACACCTCCAATAAATATAAAGTCAGGGGCTGGTGAGATGGCTCAGTGATCTAACGCACCTACTTAGAACAAGCTTAGCAAAGCACAGGGACCGCAGTTCAATCCCCCAGCACCACGTGCCAGCCCGCCCCGCCCCCTGGTGGGCTGAGCTGCCCCCCCCACATAAATAAAAAAAATTTAAAAAAAAAAAGTCAATAAATACCTAGTAAAATGACCAAATGCAGAACATAAAGTATTAGTATCAAGAGAAACAGAGGTTATTCCTGCATTCATTGATTTGATCATAAAGAAACAACACAGTTCACAGACAAAAAGTACAAATTCCTTCAAAAATAAAAGTCACCAAAACAGTCATAAAAGGGATATGGTGTTAGCAAACATTTAAAGAAACAACAATCTATAAAAATTTGTTCAGAAAATACAACAGAAGAAAATACTTCACAAATTGTTTCATAAAGATGGCATAATCCTGATAACAAAACTTTAAAAGGACCTCACAAAAAGAAAAAACTAGAGATCAATTCCTCTACAAATGCAGATATAAAACCCTAAAAACTGAATTGCATCTAGTCCATTTTTGTGGCAATTTTGGGGCATAACATGTCACTAGCATGTTCAGTTCATTTCAGGACTGCAAGGTTGGCTTAACATTTGAAAAGTCAAATATAATACATAAGAAACCTCATCAACTGCACTACTTAAAATGTTTATAATGAAATGAATATTTATATTTCATTTACTAAATAAATGTTATATTTAATAAACAGAACAACAATGCACTGTGATTCAAAAAACATTCAATGTACTATGATTCAAAACACATTGAAATTTAACTAACTACTATGTGGATTGGGACAAATCATAACTTTTCTACCGCTTTCTTATCAATAATGGACATAAGAATGGTATTACCTTCTGTAGTGAAAGGAACTACACAAATGTTAAGTCTTGTGTTGCATATGGAATGCATCAAAGTTAAATTTAAGATTTTCAGCATCTTTAATTCTATGGCATCGTATCCTGAGGAGTTAGATACTGACCCTGACTTATCATGCCCGATCATCCAATTGAGCTATAATCAGGTATATCAGAACAAGTGAGTATATTAGAACAAATAACTTATAGAGTATCACTGAAATTTTTGTTTTGATAATACAAAAAGTAGATTATCAAGGATGTGGTTGTGTTAGATCTGGAAGGATGAGAGTGAACCAAGAATTTTAGGGTAAAAATACAGCATGAGTGTTAAGAAGATTTATTTAGGCTGAAAAGTCTAGCTACAATCAAACAACAGAAGCTACCATTTAGTGATTTTTACAATGTATGCCAAGGACTATATACGTTATTGTGTTAATCTCTGACAACTTTATAAAGGAGGAATTATTGCCCTGATTTAACGACTGTGGGACTAAGGATTAAGTTAAAGAACCCAAGGTCATATAGCTAACCAGGAGCACAGATTAGATGTTAATGGTTGACCTGCTGACTGACTCGCAAGCACCAACTCCTAATTAAAAGAGTATCTGAAGACAGAGAAAGGCGGAAAAGAATGAAGATACGCCCAATGAGGCTGCAGTAAAGGCATTAGCCATATATAAAGTGCTCTGAGGAAAAAATCTAGGGTAAGAAAAATGAAAAGAGCATGTCTGTATATGAGATAGGAAAATAAATAGAAGGATCATCAAACAAGAGCATAGAAAGAACAGAGAAATTGGGCAAAAAACAAGAAAGAAGTGAAGGTAAGAGCAAGTACGAAACAGTGCCACCATGATCAAATGTGCTACCAAGTTAAAAACAGAAAATGGTGATAGAAGATAGCTGGATTTGGTAGTCAGATCATCAGACTAAGAAGAAGGGAGAAACAAAAATACGTTACGTCATAAAAGAACTAAATGCGCAACAGTGCCGAAAGCTCATAGAATACAAAAAGGAGGGACCATAAACCAATCTGGGGAAAAGTCTGAGTATAAAGTACTTTATTAAACTATATTACTTGACTCATCCACATGGCTGACACTGACAAAGGTTCTACAATCTGAGGGACAGGATCTCAGGATAAATCCTGAGGGGATTTCACTGACCTTATCAGACCCAAAAGCTACAACTCTTGTTGCATAGGTCCTGCTTTACCTTGGTCTTAACCATCCAGCAGAAAAGTATAAAAACGAAGTATAAGAAGTAAAGCCATGCGGTTATGTTGAGCTGTAGGGGACTCGGGTCAACAATTTCTGACATTGTCAGTGAAGTGGAAGACCCAATACTATTATGGACTACTGAACTCTTTTAGAATATTTTGCTGAGTTTACACACCTATAATATTCAAATAACGAAACTTAACAAAAAGGGAATACAGATGAATGTCCATTTTGTATCTGTGTATTTAAAGTGGTTAGGATAGATATATAGTTACATTCTCTTAAAGAATAGAGGGATTTGTTCTAATGGTGTTTGTAAATAGGATATCAAGTCCGCATCTTGTACAGCAATTAACCACTAGGAAGAATGTATGCAATGTGTTAATTATTGAAACTGTCCTACCAATTTGGTTTGAAACTGTCTCATTGCTATTTGTTTCTCAACAAAATTATGGAAAAAAAAACTATATTGCTGTAATTTTATTTGATATGTAGATGGAAAGGGAAGGGGAAGCAACCAATAAAAATGGCAAAGGGAAGGGAAACAATGGAGACAAACGTGTGCAAGTAGGCTACCATAATGCATTTTGAACTCTTAGGATTATAACTTTAAAAAGTACTACAAAGCACAGTGGTCCTACTGAAAAGGAGATTTCACATTTAAAAGTAAATTATTATCACTTCTCTAACTGCTGTGCAGAATCCACAAACTCGGACACATTCCTAACCTGGCTTGCTGCTTGCTTTCGTGCTCTTTAAGGTAGCAGGTGGTGTTGGGAGGATCTTTGCAGGTGTATAAGTGTTTAAAGACACCTTTCTTCTCATCATTGGACTGGAGCGTGAGGCTGAAACAGACAATCATGATAATTGTATGTTAACACAGAAAATATCTTACGCCATAATTTACTGAACTCTAAAATCTTGTAACACTATTAGGAATCAGAGAAGGCAAGGTGTGCATAGTAAATTCAGCAAAACCATCTTTCTTATGAAAAGGTAGTTTTCTCTTGGTCTTATCCAAGCAGATACTGTGTTTATATTGTATGCCATAGCATTTTAACACTATACAACAGAGGAATCCAAGTAAGAATAGAGAAACAGGCTGTTTCAGCCTGTTTCTTTCTAATAAGAAATAGATGACACAAAGCTGATGGTATAGAGTCAGTCATTTTTAACCCAGGAGTCCTCACAGGAATCAGAGACTCAGGGATGATTCATCGACAAACAGAACAGCTTACTAAACTCATGTGTAAGAATAAACTAACCGGGCTATAAGTGGTGATGCAAGTCAGATACATTCCTGTATGACCCTGCTGAGCTTTACGGTCATGAAAGGCCGGAACTTTAAAGCTCTTCCTCCTCCCACAGCTCCACTTCCTTATGGAGGCAGGGAAACTGAGGAGCTGACAGGAAAAGGATGGAGTCCTCAGGAGGGGTGGGTGCAAGAGGGGAGGTGCGTAGAAGGGGAACCATTGCGTGAGCCACTGTGCTCTAAACAAAGGGAGATAAAGGATTACAACACTGGACTAGCACCTCGGGAGGCCCTGACAGCAAAACCAGTAGGCTTTGGAAAATCAAGATGTGGGCCAGTTGTCCAAACCATCCTGCTACATACATAAATCATAAATCTTTTTCCTCCACTCCCTCTCCTGTCCTTCTCAACTCATTAGCTCTTTCCTTTTGAGTAAGTTCATTCTCCTCTACTAGGGTCTATTGTACCCATCAGATTTCACTTTTCTCTTTCAGGTTCTCAAACTAAGGAGATAATATGATGTCTGCACATGCAATTTTGATTTATTTCACTTAAGAGTATGTTCTCTAGTTGCATCCACTTACTGACAAAAGACCCAAATTTATCCTGTTTTGTAGCTGAATAATACTTCACTGTTTCAAAATATGACATCTTCCTTATCCACTATTCAGTTAATGGACATCGGGGTTGTTTCCAGGATTTAGCTCTAACAAATTGTGCTGCCGTAAACTTGGGCGCACATGTAGCGCGGTGGTATGAGATTTGCAGTTCTTCTGGAAAAATACCCAAGACGGGAAGAGCTGGCTTGAATGGGATCTCAATCCTAGCTGTTGAAGGAATCTCCACGCTGATTTCCATAGTGGTTGCACCAGTCTGCACTCCCACTAACAGTGCAGAAAGGTTCTTTTTTCTCCAGTGTTTCAGCATTTATTGACTGACTTCTTGATATTAGCCATTGTTTCTGGGGTGAGATGGAATGTCAGTGTTGTTTTAGTTTTCATTTCTTGAATGACCGATGATGTTGAGCTTTTAAAAATATATTTACATGCCATTTGCATTTTTTCCTCTGAGAAGTGTATATACATCTCAGATGCCCATTTTTGGATTGGGTGGGTCTTTGAATCTGGGGAAGGCCTGAGTTTTTTAAAATTCTTTATATGTTCTAGATAGAAGGCCTTTGTTTGAGCGACAGTCAGCTATAATTTCTCCCCAATTCATGGGTTTTCTTTTTACTCTATTGGAGATTTGCTTTGTAGTTCAGAAACTTCAAATAGATGAGATCCCTGTTGTTGATTCTCTGAAGTATTTCCCATGCAGTTTGGTTTTTGTTCATGAACTCTCTATTTATGCCTACGTCTTTAAGATTTCTGCCTACATTTTCCTCAAGATTTAGTGTTTCTATTTTAATATTTAAATCTTTGGTCCATTTTGACTATAGCTTTGTGTATGGTGATAGACATGGGTCTAGTTTTAGCCTTTGGCATGTGGAAAGACAGTTTTTTCAGCACAATTTATTTATTTATTTTTTGCGGAACTGGGGATTGAACTCCCTGCCCTTGCGCTTGCCAGGGAAGCACTTATTTATCTCCCTGGACCCATCAGCTCAATTTATTAAAGAGGCTATCTTTATTCCAGTGAGCCTATTTGGCCCCTTTATCAAAGATAAGGTGCCTGAGTGTGTTTGTAGTTGTTTCTGCATCTTCTAATCTGTTCCACTGATCCTCAGGTCTGTCTCTATGCCAGTGCGGTGCTGATTTTATCACAGTAGCTTTACAGTATAATTTCAGGTAGGGATTGTGATACCTCCTGCCTTTCCTTTGTTTCCCAGGTTTGCTTCTCATATTCTGGGTCTCTTCTGATTCTAAATGAATTTTAGGAAAGTTTTCTCTAGCTCTGTGAAGTATACTAATGGTATTTTAATTGGGATTGCATTAAATCTGTATAGTAATTTCGGGAGTATGGCCATCTTCACAATGTTGGTTCTTCCTATCCAGGTGCATGGAATACTTTTCCATTTTCTCAAATCCTCTTCAATTTCTTTTCTCAGAGTTCCATCATTTTCACTGTATAAATCTTCTACGTCCTTTGTGAGATGAATTCCTAAGTATTTCCTTTTTTCTATGTTACTGTGAAAGGCATGGTGTCCCTAATTAATGCTTTAATATGTTTCATTTTTTTCATTTTGTTTCATTAATTTCTTATTACTTTTTTCTTTTTCCAATTTTACTTGTATATATCTGGCAATGTAAATAACTGGTTGGAAGACAACACTATGTATTATAATAAACATTGTGAAATTCCTATTACTTTGTTAAATGAAATTTGTACTCTCTTAAAAAAAAAAAAAAAAAAAAAAAAAGATGTAGGCCAGTTATGGTAAAATGTGCCTTCAGCTGTTGACACCTACACTGAAGGAACAGAGATGTCTCCGCCAGAGGTCAAGCAGTTACTAACAAAAATGATACTCGTGATTAAAAAAAAAACTTCCTCAGACATCATATGAAACATGGCATGACTCCTTGCTCGCACACTTCAACTTCCATCACTCACAATCTTAGTTCATATTCCTATTCCTTTCACTTAAATCTGATATTGTCACTGACCCATTATAATTTAGCTTTTAGTTACTATAAAATTTTGCAAGTTTTATGAATTTCCTAGGTCACTAAAAAGTCTTTTTGAACACCAAAGGATTAACAATATTTTCTTGTTTTTTATAAACACCACAAAAAACACTGTATTTCCAGGTATATGAAGCTGCTTGCTTGGCAACTCAGAGAATTTTATGTAAACAGTATTAATATACTAAAATGTAACATTCAGATAATTATTTTGCATTGATACTGTATTTTAATATTCAAAAAGGAAGAAACCCAAAAATCTTAGAAGACCTAGATCTTAGTTTTGTTTAACCGTAACTGAATTGATTGCCCTTAACTATGTTTTATTCCACACTCCACCCCAAAGAGTCAACTCTTCTCAAACGAAATCTTAAATAGAATGGACTACAGTAGACACCCTGGATGGCGTGGCCACAGAACACATGAAGCCCGGCCATTTCCCACCCTTTTCTTCGTCATGGATTTCCAAAGCTCTGGGAATACAGTTTAAAGAACACCAACCTAGATTATCTTTAAAGCTCATACAACTGAATGAACTCCATGAAATAACTTACTTTCTCATTTAGTTCTTTTAACAACCTATTGATATGACATTTTAAGAGTTAAAGGGATTGGGATATAATTTGAATCTGTGGATAATTTGTATCCATCCATCCATTTGGAGAAACTAAACAGAAAAACTGCAACAACAAAAAAAAATCATATAAACTACATACAAAAATAAGCTGCCCTGAAATAGTACCCTGGAATCAACTGTGAAAGAACTCCAAAAGCACAAGAATTAATGCTAAAAAATTAAAAAAGCTTCTGCAGAGCAAGATAAACAATAGATGCAACCTTCAGAATGGGAATTTTATTTTTGCTAGCTACTTTTAAAACAGAGGACTCCTGTCCAGGTGTGGTGATGCAAGCCTGTAATCCTAGCACTTGGGAGGCTGAGACAGGAAGCTTGAAACTAAACTGCAAGTTTGAAACCAAACTGGGCTACCCAGTGAGTCCAAGGCCAACCTGAACTACATAGCAAGATCCTGTTTTAGAATGAAAACAAGGGCCAGAAGTATACAGTTCAGCAGTGCAGTGCCTGCCCGGAAGTGCAAGGTCCTGAGTTCAATTCCAGGGCCAAAAAATCAAAACAAAACAAAACAAAACACGTATGAGGGCTGATATATATACTATATAAAGAACAAACACAACAAAACAAAACTATATCCTCCTAAAACAAATGCCCAAATCAAAACATAGGGGAAATGAAATGAATATACCTCTCTCTGTCTCTGTCTCTGTCTCTGTCTCTGTCTCTGTCTCTCTCTCTCTTTTTGGGCGGAACCGGGATTGAATTCAGGCCCTTATGCTTGCCAGGGAAGCGCTTATTCCACTGAGCCATCAAGAAGAACATGAAAGTACATTAAACATCTTTGGCCATTACAGAAAAATAAATCACAACAACCCTAAGATCCTTTTTTTGGTTTTTTCTTCTTTGTTTGTACTGAAGATCAAACTCAGGACCTTGTGCTTCACAAGCAGGTGCTTACACCACTGAGCTATCTCCTCGGCTGACCCTAAGATTCTATCTTAATCAAGTAAGAATGGCTATCCAGTACAAATGGCTATTATCAAGAACACAAAATACAGACGGAGGTGAGGAGACAGTGGGGAAAAAAAAAATCCCACACTGTTGGTGGGAATACAAACTAGTACAAGAATATGGAGAAAATGGTTTGGGGAGTCCTCACGAAACTTAACAACTGAAATTCCATTTGACCCAGCATTCCTCTCTTGGGTACTTTCCCCAAAGAATGAATGATATCACATGGCAGAGATACACGCATGCCCCCATGTGCAGCAGTGCAACTCACAGCTGGCAAACGACACAAGCAGTCTAGATGCGCAATGCACAAAAGAGGTGTGATACATTTACGTGGAGTATTACTCAGCCATAAAGAAAAATAAACCGAAGCCATCTGTAGGAAAATGGATGGAACCTGGGATCGTAACACAAAGTGAAATAAGATGCAGACAGTCAATTACCACGTTTCACTTGTATGAGAACAGTAAAATGTAAATAAAGACTGAAAAGGAAGATCTTAAGAATTAGAGACAGACTTCTCTGGCGTGGGGAAGGAAAACAGAAGAGGTGAAGGCAGAGAGGAGGAGGACAGGGCACGGGAAATGAGCGAAAGACCACACAGGGGCGCCAAGTCCCCAAAATGAATGCACTTATGTACCACAAACATGTATCAATTAAATAAAAGGGTTTAACTACTCCATTAAAATTCTCTTTTCAAATGAAGCAGTTATCATTATTGTTGCTTCAGGTCACTTACTACAAATCTTCTAAAATTAAACAGCATCGCTATCTGCCACAAGCCTTTATTTTCTTATTAGAATCTTCCTTTAAGGGGCTGGGGAGTTAGCTTAGTAGAATAAGTGCTTGCCCGGCAAGTGCAAGGGCCTGAGTTCAAGCCCTGGTTCTGAAAAAAAAAAAAAAAAAAAAAAAAATCTTGCTTTAGATTCTAAGATTTCAATGCTCACCTCAGGAAAGCAATGAAACATCAACTACATATAAGGGAAAATAAGTAAACTAGAATTCCCTTGGGTTATCTATTCTGGAGCAGGAGTACCATCTATTATTAGGTTACTTTTACTAAAAAGGAAAGAACTTTCAATTTTCAGACTTTGATTTTATAGCTATTATTTCATTTGAAGTATTTTCAAAGCTCAGAGTCAGACACATTCATATGAAAGGTATGAAATCAAAATTTCCCTCTTAAAAGCCATTTCTAAAGTGAAGGATTTTAAAACACCCATCAAGATACCTCTCTATTACAATTAATGACTCAAAACTGATCTTAACTGCAAACATAGAAGAAAAGGGTACGTCACTGTATTTTAGAGGAGCAGGGGCACTATTAGGGCAGATACAGTACAAATCACCTGCTAGAATTATCCAAAGAAAAGAGAATAACAGGGGCTGGAGAGATGGCTCAGTGGTCTAAGGCACCTACTT